TTCTTACCATATCTTTTGACAGAAGTAGCCCTTAACACATCTTCTTTCTTTGTCCTCCTAATAGGAATGGTTTCTTGAGGGCACTTGCCATTCATATGCCACAGCTGAGAGATTGAATTAATTGTTGTCTCTTCTTCAGACATTTTGTTGTCAGCAAATTTTAGGGCTTCCGGCATTGTCTGGATTTTGTGGTCTTTGAGAAAAGGATGATCAAAAGCTGGTTGATGAGAGATGTGCACACAATCTATGATATCCCCATCTGGGCTCTGTTACCAGTTACCACCACAAATTAATTATTTTGTAATTAACTGAGAAGAAGAAGAGATTACATACATACATACATTTCTGATAAAATGAACTCAACAAAACTAGGGCTCTCAATAACTAATTTCTTACTGTAACCCAAGTAAGTAAAAACACACACAATTTCTGATCTATCTAAACCCACAAAATAAAATAAAAGTAAAAATGGGTGGGTGGTGGTGGAGCTGACCTGAATGGTTTTAGTGGGGGGCTTATTGAGCCTGTTCAAGTGCTTCTGAACCTCAAGCTTCTGTCTTGAAGAAGGAGATGCCGAAATTACCCCCCCACATATGCATACCAACACCAACACCAACGCCAACGCCGCCTTCACCATAAACAACTCCGCCGGTGCACCCATTAAATTATATTAGATTATTCTGCTCTCCCACACCAACCAAGATCAGAATCCTTTTGCAAGCTCAAGATTCAATAACAGAAACCCACCACCATGGAAACCACAAACTCAGAAGGCTTTAATCTCTTTTTTCTTTAGGGGTGTTGCTGTTTGTTTGTTTGTTTGTTTGTTTAGCTACTGAGAAATGAGAATGACCTCTCCTCTATCTCTCACTTTTCTCCCTTGGGAGCTTCGAAAAATCCAATGTAATTACAGAGATATACATATACATACATGTCTGTGTTTTTATTCATTTTTCTTTTTCTTTTTCTTTTTTTAATGATAATGGGACTGTGTACTAGTTAGTAGTAATTCTTAATTACATTTGATTTTTTGGCTTTTTGAACACGAGGGAGGGGTAAAAAGGGAATCCTCGAAAAGTTAAAACAATTTTTCGTAATGGCGGGGCCCACTCTTACACCCAGCTTACTCTTTCCCATTTTACCCTTGCAGTTTGAATCCACTTACTAATTTGCCCCTTCTTTTCTGCTCATTTACCAATGCCCAACGGTTGGTTACCAATCATTTCAATTCTCAATTGTTTTATATATAAAATAAAAGTATAGTCTTCAAATTGAGAGAAACTTATAGAGATATACATACATGCATACATCAATTTAGATCTTAATAATAAATGCTTCCTATTAATTAAGGTAAAAAGAGACCATATAATATCTAATATATATATATATTTTAGATAGATATAAAGCAACGAAAAAGGGAGAGATAGAAGAAGAAGAAGAAGCCCATGATGATGATGACACATGCATGAATCCTAGCTACTTACTCATAAAATTACTTTCAACTTTATAAACACCAACTATTAATAATTAGCGAATATAATCACAATTTAACTTAGGGCCCTATTCCATAATAATTATCTAAATCATCTAATTAACGCAATTGTATTTTTGTCATTCATAAACTTAATTAATGATAAAACTTTATTTTATAATGACATTGATTAAGTTTTTATAATAGTTACTATTCAACAATTAATGGTTATCATTATTATTATTATTACTATTTCAACTTTTAGATATATATATATATATATTGTTGGGTTGGAATAATAATAACAATATATATATGGGTCAAATAACTTTTTACATCTGATTTGACCCATCATTGTTCGATTTCGTCCATGTATAATTTATATACATGTTCACGTGACTCCTTCATTATTAATAGTAAATACTAATAATATAATTTTTAACAAACGACAACATGCATAGACATTGTAGTGCATATGTTTTACTCCATTTTCTTTACCCTTTTAATTCATTTATTTATTTATTTATTAAATGCATACTAATTGGAAAAAAAATAAACAAATATTTCTGGGAGAGTCATGCATTGAGTTCCATCAATTGATGATAACTTATTTAAGTGTATAATGGACAAAGATTCTTCCCTTATATTAAATTATTAATTAATAATAATTAAATTTGATGATGACAGAGGTCAAATTGATATTCTTGTATAAGTACTATTGAGTCAATGTCTGAAACAACACGATTTCCAAAAAACATATATGGGATTATTATTATATAATTTTAGTGTTCTTTGGGAGGGTTAGTAAAAACTAAAAAGACAAAAAAAGAAAAAAAAAAAAAAAGAAAAAGCATGAGTGTCTTAATTAATTAGTAATAAGGTTTATTATAAATATATAGTTAGTTACCTGAGCTTGGATTTTATTAATTTGTTACAAAATGGAGAACGAACCTTAATTATATATTTGTGTGTATATATATATATATATATATATATATATATATATATATATATATATATATATATATATATATATATAAATCATGTTAGCTATAGCTAGGGAATAGGGATATATATTGAAAAGTAGTGTTTGATCTTAAATGCAGCAGGGTAAAACAGAAGTCGATGAAGAGGAGGAGGTTAGTATTGTCATTACACGTGCACCAGGCCATGTCCATGTTGGGCCCGTATTGGACACACACACTGCAGCAGATCCACATCAATCCTCTATCACAAATTTTCATTACTAATTATTTGGGCCTTCATGCATTATTTGCTCCTGCTTAATATTTAATTACTGCTGTACGTCACATATTTGATTTATATATGACCTCCAAAATTATTAGTTAATTTTGTTTTTTTAAGAAATACTTAATTGTCACATCCAGCTATACATGAGCTATATATATATATATATATACACACGAAACCTAGGTACTTAGCTTGTTTGTAATATAATAAGGGGGCCGGGTCCTAACTTTTAAGAGATGTGAGCAAATCTTTTTCATATGCTTCGAAATTTTGTCATTGTTGTTTGTCGAGTTATACATCAGAATAATAAAAAATATGAATATGCATGTGAATGTGGGGGACTCGTGACAATGAATTGGCATTATTAATATTTTAGAATATTCCAAACTATATATTTATCAAAGGCAAGTTATTAATTGTACGTGGCCGAGACAAAAAAGAATCATACATGTCTACTGCACGCATTAGAATACAAGACAATTTCTGTACATCAAAGGGACGTACGTTTCAATTCTTCATCAACATGCATGCATGCATGGTGGAGAACTAGTATAGGCAGATCAATCCTATTCTATTACAATGATATATATATATATATATATAGCTACTATGGGAGATATGTGATTTTGGATTACACTTCAATAACTATCAACAATATATGAGCGAAAGAGAAGCTATAAATAGCACCTCTTCAACAAATTAAGGGGCTTAATTAATTTTCTGTCAACGTACGACTCAGTTTCTTCTAACACCTTTTTATTGTTCAAAACCCACTCCCGTGGCCGCGGCTAGCTCTCTAACAATTGCAACTCAACACAAAGCACAAAGCATCCATAAACCCTAAATCAGACCAGAACGACTTAGTAATTAGGTTATACCACTCGCCCAAAACCCCAAAGTAAACCTCACCAAATTTGAACTTTCTCACTCGTGTTTCCCTCACTCAAAGGTTTATTTCACTTGCTCAACATAGACTTGAAACTAGGAAGATATTCAAATTGTGTGTGTGTGTGTGTGTGTTCTATCTATATTTCTCTGACATAAATGTTTGTTGTATTGATGAAAAATAGAAGTTGTCTCTAAAGCAGAGAACAAAAACGTCACAACAATCGTCATATTCAAACAAGTCACGTGTTACTGGAAAATGCTAAAGTGCATTCAATGCGGTGGTACGACCATAAGAGAGACATAAGAAAGATTAGAAAGTACGGTTCGAGAGAGAGGCAGGTAAAATACATCAAGTGGACGGTTTGGATCAGTTGGTGAAACTCAATTGCAAGGATCGAATATCTAAGAGTGTTCCAAGGATTTGACCGAACAAGAGCCTACTGTGCAGTTGGGCTTGAGTTGTTGGGCCGGCACAAGGAAGATCGGTTAATGGATTGGATTAAAAGTAATTGGGCCAAAATCCAATTAATGGATTATATTGAGTTGTACTCCAAAGTTGAAGGAATATGCTGAGTTTAGGTATTGGGCCTACGACTGTACTATTTTGCTTACCGGTCCAGCAAGAGATGGATCCACTAAACATATAAATAGTCTTACTCAAAAAAAAATAAAAAAATATATATATATATATATATAAATAGTCGTGTTATTTTCGCCACTTAAATTGCTCAATCCGCACCATCATTTCCAGTACAAATTTTGTACAATACATATTTGAATTCAAGAGAGAGAAGAAGAAGATTGTAGAGAGAAGTTTTGGGACATTTTCTGCTTATTACTCTCCTCTTTCAAGTTTCAACATACAGCAAATTATTTTGTAATTATCTTGCTCGTGAATTAAATTTGTCAAAGTCGAACATATGATCAAATTCCGGTCGGCGCAGAGTTTCTGTATCCAGTGCCAGAGACACTGTTCGAGCACCGCCGCGCCAACCTCTTCTCAAATCGCTTATTATGTCCGCCTCGGACAAATTGAAACTGCACGAAAACTGTTCGACCAAACTCCCGATAAAACTACTTCCTCATGGAACTCTATAATATCCGGATACTTTCAGAACAACCAGCCCAATGAAGCACAACACTTGTTCGACGAAATGCCACAGAGAAATACTGTTTCTTGGAACGGATTAATTTCTGGATACGTAAAGAATGGGATGATAAAGAAAGCTAGACAAGTGTTCGACTTAATGCCTGAAAGGAATGTCATATCCTGGACTTCCATGGTGAGAGGTTACGTGGAGGAGCGGATGATTTCCGAGGCAGAAGCATTGTTTCGTCGTATGCCAGAGAAGAATGTTATTTCATGGACAGTTATGTTAGGTGGACTTATCCATGAAGGTAGAATTGATGATGCAAGAAGACTTTATGATTTGATGCCAGTAAAGGATGTTGTCACTAGAACTAGTATGATCGGTGGCCTATGCTCCAATGGTCGTTTGGAAGAGGCACGCGAGATTTTCGATAGCATGCCGCAGAGGAATGCGGTTTCTTGGACGACAATGATCTCGGGTTATGCACAGAATGGGAAGGTGGATGTCGCTAGGAAACTGTTTGAAGTAATGCCCGAAAGAAACGAAGTTACTTGGACGGCAATGCTTATGGGTTACACTCGATGTGGGAGAACAGAGGATGCGTGGGATCTTTTCAAGGCTATGCCAGACAAACCAGTTACTGTTTGCAATACAATGATCATGGGGTTAGGCGAAAATGGAGAGGTCTCCAAAGCGAGGAAAGTTTTCGACTTGATGGGAGAAAGAGATGATTCAACATGGAGTTCCATGATTAAGGTTTACGAACGAAAAGGTCGTGAATTGGAGGCAGTTAGTCTGTTCCGTTCGATGCAGAGCGAGGGGGTAAAGCCACACTTCCCTTCATTAATCAGCGTTCTTTCGGTTTGTGCCAGTCTTTCCACTCTGGATCACGGTAGACAGACACATGCTCACTTGATAAGGTCAAAGTTGGACGATGACGTATATGTGTCCTCTGTTTTGATTACCATGTACATGAAATGTGGTGATGTTGTCAAGGCCAAAATACTTTTCGACAGATTTTCTTGCAAGGATATAGTCATGTGGAACTCTATGATTACAGGCTACGCCCAACACGGTTTGGGAGATGAAGCTCTACAAGTGTTCAGAGACATGTCTTCGTCAGGCATACAAGCAGATGATGTGACATTCATTGGTGTTCTGTCTGCTTGCAGTTACAGCGGAAAGGTAAAAGAAGGGAAGGAAGTATTTGATTCGATGAAGTCGAAATATAAGATAGAGCCAATAACTGGACATTATGCGTGCATGGTGGATCTGCTTGGCCGAGCTGGACAACTGGACGAGGCTATGAAGTTAATTAACGAGATGCCTGTAGAGGCGGATGCAATTGTTTGGGGGTCTTTAATGGGGGCATGTAGGAACCACACGAACAGTGACATGGCAGAAATAGTTGCTAAGAAACTTGTTGAACTGGAGCCCAAGAACGCTGGTCCGTATGTGCTATTATCGAATATATACGCATCGAAAGGTAGATGGGGGGATGTAGATAAGGTGAGGAAAAAGATGAGGCATAAAAAGGTGAGCAAGTCACCTGGTTGTAGCTGGATTGAGGTGGAGAAGGAAGTGCATATGTTCACAGGTGGAGAGAGGACACCGCATCGGGAACATAAAGAGATAGTGAAAAAGTGGGAGAAGCTAAGTGGGATGTTGAGAGAAGCTGGATATAACCCTGACGGTGCGTTTGTACTACATGATGTGGATGAGGAAGAGAAGGTGCAGAGTTTGAGACTACACAGTGAGAAGTTGGCTGTGGCTTATGGACTAATGAAGTTGGGTGAAGGGGTGGCTATTCGAGTAATGAAAAACTTGAGGGTTTGTGGGGATTGCCATACGGCGATTAAGTTGATTGCGAATGTGACTCGCCGTGAAATTATACTTAGGGATGCAAATAGATTTCATCATTTTAAGGATGGCTTGTGTTCTTGCAGAGATTATTGGTGACTCACTTTATTTATTCAATTAATGTTGCTCTCTATCTCATTAATGCATTTTGTTTTTTCTTTTTCCTTTCAGTATATACTATATAGTATCGGTACCATTCCAATTGCTTGAGAAGCAATTTGCATTTTTTTTTTCAAGTCCTCTCCTCCTCTGTTTTAGTTGTATATCTACGCATAACTGAAAATATTAAATATTACAAATATAAAAATATATTTTATAAATTAATAAATATTAAATACATATGTTCGTAAATTGTGAAATGAAATAAAAAATAAAACAGTTGATGATAGGCAGGCAGAATAACGTACGTACCCATATGCTCTCGAAGAGTAAACAGTTGGCCGTCGAAGCTTGAATCCGTCACTCCAAAATCGTCGAGCCTTCACAGCGTCACTAAAAGGTCGCCGGCGACACTGACAGTCACGGGGACGGCACGATTTCAGGTAAGGGTTTCGTTTGTTTTTCCTCAGAGAGAGAGAGAGAGAAAGACTGAGGAGTTTGGGGATTTCCTTCTGAAGAAACGCTTTTCCAAATTTTTTAATTTTTTTTCAAAAATCACACAAAGCCGTTTGGAAACTCATCCTAGTTGCCGTGTCCTTGTAACTACACGAAGACAACGTTGTTAAATAAATAAACTGATTTATTGTCATGCAATGGCATACAAGATCCACAGTCAAATACATAGCCGATCAGTTGAAAAGATGTGCGAGCTTGAAGGAGGTGGAATCATGGTATGGCTTGTTGTTCAAGACCAACACTACTCAAGATTGCTTCTTGATGAATCAATACATCACTGCTTGCTCCAACGTTCACAGTTTAGATTCTGCAATTTTTGCTTTTTCCCAGGTACATAATCCCAATGTCTTCGTCTACAACGCAATCATCGGAGCCTTTTTGAACTTATTTCGACCACTCGAGGGGTTGCGCTATTATGTGGATATGTTGAGGAATGGGGTAACCCCAACTAGTTATACATTTTCGGCATTAATTAAGAGCTGCAGAGTTTTATCTGTTGTGGGATTTGGTGAAACTGTTCATGGCCAGGTTTTGAAAAATGGGTTAGCGCTTCATGTTCACGTCCAAACCTCACTTGTTGATTTTTACTCGAGTTTGGGGAGGGTAATTCAGTCGAGGAAGATGTTCGATGAAATGACTGACAGGGATGGTTTTGCTTGGTCCAGTATGATTTCAGCATATGCCCGTGCTGGGGACTTGGATTCTGCGAGGAGTGTGTTTGATGAAATGCCGGAAAAGAATAATGCCTCGTGGAATACCATAATTCATGGATATGTGGAAGCAGGGAATGTGGAATCTGCAGAAGAGTTGTTCCGAATAATGCCCAAAAGAGACGTGATTTCTTGGACGACCATGATTAATTGCTACTCCAAACACAAACTCTATAGAGAGGCTCTAGAACTTTTTGATGAAATGAAGCGTACTGGAACTAGACCCGATGGCGTAACAATGGCAACGGTAATATCTGCCTGTGCACATCTTGGGGTACTGGACCAAGGGAAGGAGATGCATCTCTATGTTATGCAAAACAGGTTCAAAATTGACGTTCACATAGGATCTGCTTTGATTGATATGTATGCCAAGTGTGGGGTGCTGGAAAGAGCACTTGTGGTGTTCTACAAACTAGAGGATAAAAATCTCTTCTGTTGGAGTTCTGTGATTGATGGCCTTGCAGTTCATGGATACGCTGAGGAAGCTTTAGCAATGTTTGACAAAATGGACAAGGAAAAGATCGAGCCAAATCGCGTTATCTTTGTCAGTGTTCTTGCAGCTTGCACTCACGCGGGATTGGTCGAAGAAGGCAACCGAAGATTCCTCGAAATGACTAGTAAATACTCCATCCTTCCCGAAATCGAACACTACGGGTGCATGGTTGACCTTTTATGCAGAGTTGGTTTAATAGAAGAAGCACTAGTCTTGATAAGAAGCATGAGAATGCAGCCCAATTCTGTGATATGGGGTGCTTTGTTAGGTGGTTGTAAGCTTCACAAGAACTTAGAGATTGCTCGAGTTGCTGTGGACAGATTAATGATATTGGAGACAGATAGTAGTGGTTATTTCACCCTTTTGATTAACATGTATGCTGAAGCGAATAGATGGGCTGACGTGGCGAGAATTAGGGCAACGATGAAGGAGCGTGGGGTGGAGAAGATATTGCCTGGATCGAGTTGGATTGAAGTGGAAAAGAAGATGCATCAGTTTGCTGCTTGTGATAATTATCATCCAGCATCACAAGAGATTTATTTAGTGTTGGATGTGTTGGATTCTCAGCTTAAGCTAATTGGCTATGCACCTGATTTTGATTTTGTCCTGTAATGAAAATTGTGGTAGCTTAGAACAACCTAAGATCCCATGTATTCTGAGTTGGCTTGTACAATTGGTGATGTGCAAATGCATACTTGTTTCATAGTTGGAACATCATTATAGCTTGGTGATGACATCTTCTCCAAACTGACTTTTCTTCCGTCGCAGGTACGATTGTAGTGACATGTAATAAGGGTTTTCTAGATGCTGCACCGGATGCACTACACCTGGTATTATTTATATCAACCCTTGGATCACACACACACACACACACACACACACACACACACACATGTGGGGGTGTGTGTATGATGGATGGATGTCCGCATTGTTTGTGATGCTTATTACAAAGGTGATTTAGGAGAAGAAAAATAAGAGGCATGATTATTAGTAATTGAAAGAGTGGGAAGTGGAGGTGTAATGAAAGACAGGAAAGAAACATTGCCCCCACAATTATGTACATTTCAGCATGCCTCTGTCTCTCACTTTTCAAACTCTATCATCTTCTCTTTTATCCTTTTCTCTTGTTACCACTGTATTTCCTATATTTGTTCTTACCCATTATTTTTTTTTTTTCCTTTCCCCAATTTGTAGAGCCCATATATTAATTCTTGAAGATCCTTAATGGACAAAATTAAGTTGATTGGGAGTGAAATAAATAAAATCCTTGGACCACTCTCCATTTATTAAAGCAATTGTAAATTTTGTTTTTTGGCATTACAGAAGATAGAAACAATATTATTATATACTATGATGGTCCGGGCAAGAAATACAGACTTAAATTTGAAAAGGTTGGCAGGAAAGAGTATAGTAATACTAGGATTAAGGCAGTTACTGTTAAATCATAAAATGTTTGTCGGGATCCGAGGTGGGGATTTTCTCAGCAATTAAAAGAAAGGTAACAACATGGCTCTCTCTCTCTCTCTCTCTCTCTCTCTCTCTCTCTCTCTCTCTCAAATTGGTGTACCATCTCTCTATACATAATTACATATACATACATGATAGGCAACTGGAATTTCCAGCTAAGCATTCTCTTCTCTTGTTTCTAATTGTTGTGCCTTTTCATGGAGGTTAATTCATCGTCCCTCAAATAGTGATGTGCATTATTTTCATATTTTCTGACTCGGATCTATTCTTGAAATAACCACTCTTGTCATCTCTTTTTCTTTCATCACTAATTATAATCTAGGCAGACAGGCCTGTAAGAATTTCTGCATATTTTTACTACATGTCTGGTTTTTCTTTCCTCGTTGGTTGGACTCTGCTGCATAAGATAAGCTTCAACAATTAGAATTGCTTTTTTTGTTGTTTTCTGCAGGAATAGTGTTTCCTAGAGAGTTGATAAGAAATTCTTGAGGAGGAAATATTTCTTGTCTTCATCATCAATTAGCACAATCTGGTTGTTTGAATTAATAAAGAATATCAAAGAAAGAAACACTTGTTTTGTATAGAGCAAAACACAGATATGGAGGAGTTGTAAGTCAGTGGTAGGGGAAATGAAGTGTTGATGAAAGAGGAGGGGAGTTTGATGAGGGTTTTGTTTTGCAAGATTCACTCTTCTTTCGTCTGCTTCTGCAAACCTAGTAACGCTCATCTCTACAGTTCATCATTGAAATTGGAAAATGCTCCAAACAAAGAAGTTGTTCATTCAACATTTGTTGGTGTGTCGTTACTATCTTCTGAGAATGGAGTACTAGTCAAGAGCTGCATGAAGAAGATCCCTTGTGATGGCATTGACAACAAAGAAATAGGAAAGAAGAGAGTGCAATGGATGGATATATTAGTAGGTAAACAACTTGCTGAGATCAGGGAATTTGAATCCAGGTGCCTGCCCTACTTTATCTGTTGACGATTATTGGTTTTGAATTTTGCCACATCTAATGTCCGATTTTTGATTTTTAGTGAAACAGGTGGAGACACGGAGAGTGAAGAGGAAAGCAGCCGTTGTCTTTGCATCATTCTCTGACTCAACGGAGCAACATTTCCTATCCAAATTACAACTTTGCTTCTTTCTAAGCTTTTCACACTACCAAATACATCATCATTCAATCTGCTGTAAGGAAACTTATGTAATCAGTTTTCTTATCTTTGACAAGGCAAAAAAGTATTGGACATGAGTTTGAAAAAGAAAAGGTAATTGAGTAGATAGATGCCCACAATCTCACCATTCATTTAATTTCCCACTATATATGAATGATAATGCTGTTTATCTAGATACATATATTATCAACACAAGATTTCGGGTTTGACCAAGACCATCTTAGTTCATTCATTCTTGACACTATTTTTTGCCATACCTACAAACCAATTCAAAGGGCAATGTAGTGGATGGTGGGGGCAGCCTGGTTTCCCACTGCCGTTGGATAATTCTTGACATTATTAATACATACTGCTCCTCCAAAACTTGCAGGAAAAAAACAAACACAGAGAGAGCCAAGTTCTTGTTTAATTATCATGGCTATAGTTTTTATCCTTGCATCACTGATAATCCTAGTCCTTCTTGTCAATCTCACCATCAAATTCACAAGAATATTATCAAGAACAAAGTCCTTGAATCTTCCACCCGGCAGCTACGGATGGCCGATTCTTGGTGAAACACTCGAATTTCTTCGTGCAGGTCTAGATGGTACACCCGAGAAATTTGTCAAAGAGAGAAGCGATAAATATAAATCGCAAGTGTTCAAGACTTTGTTGATGGGGGAGAATATGGCCGTTTTCTGCGGGTCCTCTGGGAATAAGTTCTTGTTCAGCAACGAAAATAAGCTTGTTACAGTTTGGTGGCCTAGCTCTGTCAGACAACTTCTCGGACCATGCTTAGCAACCAGCGGTGGAGATGAAGGCAAGCAAATGAGGAAGATGGTTTCTTATTTTCTGGGCCCCGATGCTTTCACTAGGCTTTACATCAAAACCATGGATTTAGTTTCCCAGCAACATATCAAGAATCACTGGCAAGGTATAGTAGTTTCATTACATTCTTGTTTCTTTACGGTCCTTTTGTTCTCTGAATGAATTGCACCCTCTTCTCTTCTCTTGTTTTTTTTTTCTTTTTTTCTCTTTCTTTTGTCATGGTGAAGGTAAAGAGGAAGTAAAAGTGTTTCCAACGAGCAAGTCTTACACGTTTGAACTTGCGTGTCGACTATTTATGAGCCTAGAGGACCCGAAGCAGATATCAGAACTTGCTGCTCTGTTCAATATTTTCTTGAAGGGTATAATATCGATTCCTGTGAATTTCATCGGAACAAGATTCTATAATGCGAAGAAGGCTACTTTTGCTATAAAGAATCAGCTCCGGGAGATAGTAAGACAGAGGAGAGCTGCATTGGAATGTAAAAGGGCTGCACCTTGGCAAGATCTTCTGTCCCACTTACTTGCAACTCCAGATGAAAACGGTAAGTTCATGTCTGAATCGGTTATAGTGAACAACATAATAATGCTGCTGTTTGCCGGTCACGACACTTCAAGTGTTGCAATAACGATGATGATGAAGAATCTAGCGGAAATTCCTGAGGTTTACGAAAAAGTGCTCAAAGGTTAGCTTAATTACTACCTTATATATAAATCTTATTACATGGAAAAAAAAAAAGAAAAAAGAAAGCAAGTGGATTTTGATGGGGTTTGGACAACAGAGCAGATGGAAATAGCATCATCAAAAGGAGGAGAATATCTAGAGTGGGAGGATATACAGAAGATGAGGTACACGTGGAATGTAGTATCGGAAACAATGAGAGTAATGCCACCAATAATGGGTGCTTTTAGAGAAGCATTGACAGATATTAGATATCAAGGTTATCACATTCCAAAGGGATGGAAGGTAATTAATACTAATTAGCTTGTTTGCTTGAATGAATTGTTGCAACAATATATATATGTAATATATAAAATTAATTTCAGTTGTA